CCTCCTGTCTCAGCCTCCTGACTAGCTGAGATTACAGCCACCATGTCTGCCTTACCGTACAGGTAGTCTGCTCAAATTATGACTTAATAATAGAAATACTGCCTGCTATGCTAGCAGTTAAACAGCGCTTATAAGGATAAAGCCACAAATATTGTTCACAATTCTCTTAGTTACTTTCTCATTGCAGGGACAAAATACCCAACACTCACCAGTTAGAAGAAAAAAAGTTCACAGTACTTCATCTCACAGTTTGTAGCAGTTTTGTCCATAGCCAGCTAGCTGCAAGGCAAGGCAGCATGGCAGAGGGGCATGACACAGACAGCCCATGGCAGGGCAGGCAGCAAGCAGTGGCAGCTAACCTTCCCTTCTTTTATCCCATCCAGGCTACAAGTCTTTTGGATGGTGCCACCCATGCTCAGGGTGGGGCTTCCACTATCCACACCCACACCTTTGCTAAATCAATCAGCGGGCTAATTTAGTTATCACACCCTCTTAATCCACATTCACACACCTAAATCCAAGCTCTGAGAAGCTCCACCTACAACTGCACGAGGCTTTAGGGGGATAGGGAGATAGAAACCGTAACCACCACCAAAGTTACTTTTTTCTGTACTTTTTCCAAATCAGTTTTATTGAGCTAGAATTCACTACCATGCCATACACCACTCACACATATACAGTGAGCAATTCAGTGGTTCTTAGTATAATCAGAGCTACACAACTATCATTACAATCTAACTTTAGATTATTTTTATCACCCCCAAAAGAAACCTTTCACCTACCAGCAGTGATTTCCCAACCACCTTCTTCCCTTTTCCCAGCCCTAAGCAACCGGTAATGTATTTCCTGTCCCTATAGATTTGCCTATTTTGGACATTTCACATCAATTAAATCATGTAATGTGATTTTTTTGGTGACTGGCTTATTTCACTTCACATGTTTTTAAGATTCAACCAGGTTATAGCACGTATTAGAATTTTTTTTGAGACTGGGCCTCAGTATGTTGTTCAGGCTGGTTTGTAACTCACTGTATGTAGACCAGGCTGGCCCCGAACTTGCGTGCTGTTCAAATCACGCTGAGAAATTACGGATTTTAAGAGCTGCAAAACTTTTAACTAAGAAACTAGCTTTTTAAAAATGGTAATTGTCTCTAGACAAATAATACAGTTTTCACACATTATTGAGGTACTACACAGTTTCAATACAGGTATTTATTATATAATTTTAAAAAAGTTTATTGGTACACTTTAGGAACATATAATGATCACATTCATTTCAGGAAGTTTGTACCTGTGCGTGATACATCTTGATTTCACTTTTTTTCCCCATTCCTGTCCCCTCCTTTCAAACCCCTTTCCCCTCCCCATTCACAAAGCTGTTTTCATTTTATCCTTTTCTCGTTTTTTCTTTCACTTTGTTCCTTTCCCCCTCCCTAGTTTCCTTTTCCTTTTCAAAAGTTTCTTCCTATTCCACAATATCTATTGTACATTTTTGTTCTTATTTACATTTTCAGTTTCTCACATCAGAGAGATAATGCAATATTGACATATGTTTATTTCACTTATGATTATGGTCTCAAAGTCCACCATTTCTTTAGCGATAAATATCTCATTTTTCTTTCTTTATGGCTGAGTAATACCCATTATATTAAAAAAAATCTTTTTTATCCATTCATTGGTTGATGAGCATTTGGGTTGCTTCCAAGATTTAGCTATTACAAACTGTGTCTCTGTAAGTATGGGTGTGCATATATCGCTATGGTATGATGCTTTTAATTCTTCTGGGAAGATACCCAGAAGGGTAATAGCTGGGTCAAATGGAACCTCTAATCCTAGTTTTTTGAGGAATCTCCACACTGATTTCCACAGTGGTTGCACCAGCCTACAGATTAGAAGATGCAGACACAACTGGGATGAACACATACTTCTAGGCATCTGAGATGAACACATACTTCTCAGATGAAGAAATACAAATGGCAAATAAATGTATGAAAAAATGTTCAACATCACTGGCCATTTGAGAGATGCAAATTAAAACAACCCTGAGACTCCATCTCACCCCAGGAAGAATGGCTATCATTAAGAAATCAACCAATAACAAATGCTGATGGGGCTGTGGGGAAAAAGGAAGCCTTCTCCACTGTTAAGGCATTTACATAATAAGTTGAATAATTCACATACAGAACATTAAAACTGGCATAGCAATGTCTCCTTGGCATTCTAGCTATGTTTGTTTCACACTTACTAAAGCCAGCCTCGGTTTCACGCATCTGTAATCCCCGCACTTGGCAGGTTGAGGCAGGAAGGATTGAAAGTTTGAGGCTCGCCTTAGTTACACAGAGAAACCCTGTCACAAAAAAAAGTGGTAAGCATATCCATAAAAAATATTTGCCAAAATTTTACAATTTATCTTTTTTCCATTCCACCAACTAGAGATCAACAGTTTGACATGTGTAAAACCACAACAGTGATAATAGAATTCGAATCATTGTCCTTTTTCCCACTTATCTGCGGAAATCGTCTGTAACCTGCACTCCTGACTATGTCCCTCGGAGAGAGCAGCACAGACGGCGAGGTTATTGCGTGTCTTCACGGATGAGGGCTGATGACTCGAAGCCGTGCTCACAAGTAGCCTGTTCTCGGCCGCTGGTACTTTTCCCTCAGCTCCTGTCTGGAGTATCTGGGAAGGAGTTCTGCCCTTCACCCACTGCTAAGGCAACACATTTTTGCTTTGATGGCTCTGAGGGGCAGCAGATAAACACTTCTGCAACTGAGACTCAGCTTTTAGGAGACATGCTGTGAAGAACAGCACGGCGGTGGTGGCTAGCTTTGTAGTTATGTGCCATTTCCTAATAAGCTCCTGTTTTTATGGACAATGATGACTTGTACCTTCAGTAATGCTCTTAATACATGCTACGGCGGGGGGCTGGGGATTTAGCTCAGCAGCACAGCGCCTGCCTGGCAAGTGCAAGGTCGTGAGTTCGATTCCTGGTACCGGAAAAAACCAAAAAAAAAAAAAAGAAGAAGAAGAATACATGCTACAGGGAGCACTGATTGTTTGAAATTTAAGTGCCTAAATATAGTTATTATAATTTATTTTTGTTTTTGTTTTTTTTTCTGGTACTGGGAATCGAACTCAGGACCTTGCGCTTGCCAGGCAGGCGCTGTGACGCTGAGCTAAATCCCCAGCCCCAGTTATTATAATTTAATCAATAGCCAGGCTCCATGGTGCTGCCTATAATCCCAGCACTTGGGAGGCTGAGGCAGGATCACTTCAAGTTCAATGTCAGCCTGAACTACATAGTGAGACCTTGTTTAAAAAAAAAATGCACGTATGTATAATAAGTCATATAAATATCATCAACAAACTAGCTATTTAAAGCCAGGAGTATCCCAGCACTCAGGAGGCTGAGGCAGGAGGATCGTTGTTTGAGGCCAGCCTGGGCTACAAAGTGAGCTCAAGGCCAGCCTGAACTGCATTGTAAGACCCTGTCTCAAAAAGACAAAAAAAAAAAAACCAAAAAACCAAAAAACTAGCTATTTAAACTGTTAAAATTTATTTTCTTTTCTACAAATCTTACAAAAATTTAAAAAATCCCAGACAATCTTCTGGACATACCCATTAACTGTTGCTGAGATGCTGGGAATTGATAGTAACTTCCTAACTTTTATCTTCTTTTTGGGAAGAGTGGAAAATGACTAGCATACAGAGTGTTTAATGACTTCAGCAGGAGTAAGTAGAGCTTATATGAACAAGGAAGCACTGGTATCCCAGCACTGACTCTGCTGTTCAACGTTAAAGCAGATCCTAAATATTATAAGTACCAACAGTACGTATAGAGTTCTACATGTGTCGTTTCTTAAAATCTTGAGCATTTTGTTTAGTGACTGACCAAAAGCTTCCTTTTAAAAGGTAGAATAGGCCGGTTTTCTACCAGTAGTCTCAAGTGACCCTCCTGTCTCAACCTCCGGAGAACCTGGGATGACCAGCGTGTATCACCATGCCTGGCTTACATAAATCTGTTTCAAAAGACAGATCTCCAAAAGGTACTGCAAATTCAAAACGTAGGTTAGTTTTAAGCAATAATCTAAATATAACATCAAACATGAGAACACCGGAACTAGTTAAATGTTTAAGTTCTGATGTTCACTGCTTTTCTTTTTGGTGGGATTAGGGCTTGAATCCAAGGCCTTTGCACTGAGCTCCACCTCCACTGCTTTTTTTGTTTTAAAATTTTTTTACTTTGAGCCAGTGTCTCCTCAAGTCACTAAGTTACCCAGGCTGGGCTTCAACTTGTGATCCTCCTGCCTCAGCCTCTCAGAATGGTAAGATTACAGGCACTGTGCACAACCTCTGGCCACTGTATTCTTTAAGAAAAAAAGTTTTGCTTTTCCTAATTTCAGAAGACAGTCATTATTAAAAAAAAAAAAAAGGAAAAATAGGAAAGTACAGAAAAGAAGAAATACCATTTTAGATATGCTCTCTATATAAATTTTAAAGGATATTTTTTCCACTTTCATTTTTCCTAGAAACTCCACTTAAAAAAAATTTAGCCCTATCTTAGCCTCTTCACAAAAAGCCATGCACATGGACTCTTACAACACAGAGATATAAAAAATGGGGGGAGTATATAGCCCACCCTCCCCAACCTTCCCCTCATGCTAAAGGGCATGTTCAGGATTTCTGGAGGCATTTTTGGGCATGCACACAGAATTAGTGATTACACACAGACACATTTATATTTTTAACAGAAAAAACAATTTTAGATAAAATTTTTAATTATATTATCACAAAGCAGAAGAAAGTTGTAGAGAGACACACAGCTCTGTGTGTGTGTGTACACAGCTATTTACAAATGTGCAATCACATATACCAACTTTGAAAGGGAACATACAGAAAAATATCTATTAGGATATTGAGGATGTTTCTTTTCTTTTTTTTCTTTCTTGAGACAGGGTCTTGCTACATAGCTCAGGCTGGCCTTGAACTCACAGTGATCCTCCTGCCTCAGCCTCCCAAGTGCTGGGACTATAGGCATGCGCCACCATGCTTAGCTTCTTTTTGATTTTGTAATATACTCAACAAAACATTACACTAAGGAGGACTATTTTAGGGCTGGAGAATCTTATATAAATGAATTTGTTCAAGAGCTTCTCTGTCAGTGTCATTTTGTGGGTACACGTCATAGTTCAGTGGTACCTCTTCTGCCCAGGAGGATAACTGTATGTTAGTCTAGGAGAAAATAAAAGAATTATAAACAAAAGTGAAACTTGCAGAATGATCATGTTTTCTGAAGTCATTACTAAATAATTAAACACAACAGACTTTTATTACAATAAACAGGACTAAGTACATGGTGCCACAGTGATTTTTTTATAAATGGTAGGTCTATGGATTCAGAGACCATTTAGAGACCAAATCACTTACTGTGATTTTGGAACTTGAAAGAATGTAATGTTTTGTTTTGTTTTTGAGACAGGGTCTCACTATGTACTTCAGCCTGGCCTTGAATGCACCATGATGCCCAGGTTGGCCTCGGACTCACGGCAATCCTCCTGCCTCAGCCTCCCAACCGCTAGGATTGCAGCCATGAGCCACCACATCTGGCTGAGAATATAATTATGTTAATAGAAACAGTTTAATCATTATCATTAGGTTTAAACAACAAAAGAACAGCGATGGGGCAATACACACACAAACTGTCACAGCGGGTGTGGGGCAATCTCTGTCTCTAACGTTCACTAGGCTGTTCCCCTCATATTGCAAACTTGAGCCTTATCTGCTTATAGAAGTTTCCTTAAATGGAAAGCAATAAAATTAATGAGTTTATATATAATGACTCTTAGATAAACATCAATTTCTAATGGTTATTTGGAGATATTTCTGTATTTAGGGCAATAGCTATTATTTTGGTAAGTGAAAAGTCACTAAATTATTTTGATATATATAGAAATTATAACCCAAATTTCAGACCATATGTTTTAAAAGGTCTTTTTGTTTGGTAGTACTGAGGGTCAGAACCAGGGGCACTCTACCATGGAAGTACCTCCCTAGCCCCTTCGATTTTTTATTTTGAGCTAGGGTCATACCAAATCACAAGGTGGCCTTGAACTTTTCTTTTCCTTTTTTCTGAGCCAGTTAAGGCTGGCCTTGAACTCACTATGCAACTCAGGTTGGCTTTGAACTCACAGCAATCTTCCTGCCTCAACCTCCTGAATGCTGGGATTACAGGAGCGTATCACCACACTTGGCATGAATTACTTTTATAATTTGGATGATTGCTAAAATTTTAAAAAAGTATTACTGACGACTGATTTTATTTAACATTTCTAGTATCTTTTTATGAGGACATATTGGTTACGTAGATTAATGGGTTTTATTTTGAGATTGTTTAGTTTTATACAAGAAGAAATCACATACAGGGAAAGGTCCACTACAAAAATAATAATAGTACTCTGTATTAAGAAATACAGCAGTGACTTTCATTTGGTGATCTCAAATACTAACTTCACAAATACTAACTAACCTTCCTATCAGAAGTTGTTGGGCTGAGCTTTATTATTAAACTACACCCTTCTTATATACGGAGAAGTGGGGAACAAAGAAACTAGTTTAAGGCTCCTAAGTGGCTTAGAGGTCACGCTGTACGCAGTACGCAGTACTGCAGTGGGCTCATTTGAGTCCAGAAGCCTGGAACAACCATGTTCCTTTTGTTCTGAGGCACACAGTTAGATAAGCGTGTTCCAAGCCTCTTAAAAATGTTCAGTAATGTTTGTTAACCCAAAACCATGACCTCACAGAAAAATTGGGTAGAGAAGCACAGGAATTTATCTCCATGCAAGTATTGCAATTTCAGAGCCCTTTAGGCCAGGAAATAAACCACACGCCAGTGCTTAAGCAATAAGGTCTTGATAGTCTATCACTCGTCACTATTTCCAGGCAGAACATTCCTAGACTATTTACAGTAATCACTATGAGAAAAAAAAAGGAGAAAAGTTTTGACAATAAAAACGCTGGAGTTGGCTGACATACCTGAAGACCTGAGAGAGAATCTTCGAGACTTGGTACCGTCACTAATAACGATCCTGGCTTCCTTAGGTGACAGCTGATATACTCCCAGGCGCTACAACACATAAAACCTGTTATGTCAAAACAACCACGGGATATTGCTCCATACCCACTGGAAAGGACAAATTCCAGAATGGCAAATGCTGGGAAAGCCGGGGAGCAATGGGAACTCTCATTCATTATCATACGGGAATGCAAAAATATAGAGCCACTTTGGAAGAGTTTGGTGGTTCCTTGTAAAACTAAATATGCTCTTATAATACAATCCAGCAATCGTGCTCCCTGTATTTACCCAAAGGAGTTGAAAACATACGTTTCTAAGAATCTGCACATGAATGTTTAGAGCAGCGTTCTCCTAACTGTCAGAACTTGGAAGCAGCCAAAGCGTCCTTGAGTAGCTGAGCTGATGATATGAGGTACATCCAGGGGGTTGTGGAGTGCCCCACACTCAGGAGAAATGAGCTCTAAGCATGGAGCCACGGGGAAGCGTAAATGCTCATTACTACACGAAAGGAAACCAATCTGAAAAGGCCGTATGCTGCATGAGTCTAACTACGACATTCTGGAAAGGGAGAAACTGTGGCAAGGTAAAAAGATCCAGGCGTGAGGGGAGAGGAAAGGATGAACAGGTGGAGCACAGGGGATTTCCAGTGGGAATACTACGTTGACACTTTAATGGTGGATGCACGCCACCACACCTTTGTCCAAATCCACAGGCTGCACACCAAGAGTGAACTCTAATTAAACTATGGACTTTGCGTGAATATGGTGTCACAGACTCACGCACTATAATAAATGGATCACTCTAGTGGGAGACGTAATGGAGGAGACTCTCCATTTGTGGGAGTAGAGTATATGGGGAATTTCCTCCCCATTCTTTCAGTTTTCCTGTGAACCTAAAACTGCACTACGAAAATAGTCAATTAACAACCACCACCACCAAACAAAAAACCCAAACCCTGAATCCAAAGCACACCTGTATCAATACGTCTGTCACCCAGGTTAAAAACAAAATAACAACAACAAAAAAACCTGCTATGTTTTTACCAGACACTGGAAAGTAAAAAAAACAAAACCAACCAAACAAAAAACCAAACAAACAGAAAGAAAATGCAGCTCAGGGGACAGCTAGAAATCAAGAAGGGCAAAAATTTTTGCCCACAGGAAACAGTACTGAAGCAACACACTAGGAGTTGGCAGATTCTCTAGTTCCCGAAGTGGTGTTGACAAAACTGTGGTCAAAGTACTGAGGAGATTAACAAGATGCGGATTCAGGTTACTACAAGTACTGTCAGTTGATTTTCAGAACCAATGTACAAGTCAAAGCTGGGTCAGCAGTTAAGGTCCCTTAAATTCTTTATGAAGTACACAGAATCGGCTCTACAGACTGGAACAGGGTGGAAATTGCCGGGGGTCTGAGGCTGCAGAAGTCCTGGAACAAAACGGGGCAGAAAGCCCAGAAACCAAAGACGAACAGTGAGAGTGTCATACGTAGATCCGATCTTTCATACTCCATGTGGCTGTGGGGACTACTCCCTGGGACGACTTCCAGTATAACATCAGCGGGATTGGCCAGCTTTAGAGCAGGACAGAGGCCACACGCATGACACGTGCCAGAGGGCAGGCCTTCCGTGTGGACGTGAACTGGATTCCGCACTGCGTGTGTATGGGGACTCCCGCCACTGTAAGCAAGGCATGAAGCCTCGCAGAGGAAGCGTCCCTTGCAGCAGGGTGGGGGGGTGGCGCACGGACAGGAGTGTTACTTGCATCTAGTTTAGTTATAGCAATGGAGCAATGCTTAGTTTACCTAGGAAGTTCTGGAGTTTGTTAACAAAGTGACAAAATGTTCTTTAACGTAGGCCGAATGTAAAGTCAGGTAGCAGTTCTATGTCACTGTGTTTTGACCAGAGCTACTCTGTTGTCCTAAAAATGACATACTTTGTAAGATTATTTAATACAAGAAGCAGCCAAGTATACTGGCATAGTCTTTCTCTCGTGAGCTGTCACTGTAGTAGTTGGGTCTGTGTTACTGATACAACACACACAGGTATTTTTTCCAGTATGGAGACTTGGACCCAGAGTCTTGCACGTGCTAGGCAAGCACTCTACCACTCAGCTACATCTCCAGCCCTTTTCATACGCTATTTTGAGACAGGTCTCACAAAATTGCCAAGGCTGGCCCTAAACTCTTAATCCTTCTACCTCAGCCTTCTAAGTAGTTGGTAATATGTGGGAAAAAGAGGTCCAGAGGTCTGGTTGACGGCTGTGGCGGAAAAGTGAGTCTGAGCAAACTCAGACTCCTCGGCAAACCGAGTAAATGCTCCGCCTAGTTTGTCCCGCTCTGATCTCTTGCTTCCACACAGCCCCCAGCCAAAAGTACCGCCTCCAAACTACGCCCCTAACCCGCCTCCACTGCCACGCCTCTAGCCTGCCCTATAAATGCCTGATACTTCCACAATAAAGTGGATCTGCGCCATCAGCCTGGTCTCCGGTGTCCTCTTTCTTCACCGTCACCGCTTACCACGGGCCCAGGTCCCTCGACCCAAGGAGGTTCAACCTCAATAATATAGGCATTTGCCACTATGTCTAGTTGCAACTTTTAGTTTAAAAGGTAGCTCTAGCTGGGTACAGTGGTATATGTTTATAATCCCAGCCACTCAGAGGCTGAGGCAAGAGGATCACAAATTCAAAGCTAGCCCTGGTAATGTAGTGAGGCCCTGTCTCAAACTACCAAAAAGGCTGGGGATGGAGCTCACTGGCTGAGTTCTGGCCTAGCATGCATGAGATCCTGGGTTCAATGACCCATAGAAAAAACCAAACCAAACCAAAACAACAACAAAGAAACAAATCAAACAATGAAAAATTGTTCTATAAATCTGAGATGTTACCTGTAATGAGACTGACCTTATTCTAAAGCTTGAGCCTTTCCTGGGTTTTCTCTTACATACTAACTCTTATGGTAACAACATTCCACTTATCCTCAGACTCCAGTTAAGATTACAAATCTTGAAGCTGGGCATGGTACCACACACCTGTCATCTCAGCACTGGGAAGGCTGAGACAGGAGGATTGCTGGGAGTGAGGCCAGTCTGGGCTACATCGTCAGTTCAAGGCCACCCTGACACAAAGTGAGATCCTGTTTCAGACGACAACAACAAAATCAAACCAAACCAAAACAAAGAACATTACAAATCTTTGGAGGTAATACATTGCTCCATCTGTTCTTCCACTCATCACAAAATGAATTATAGATAAATGATCAATTTTTTCAGAATGGTTCCAGTATCAGAATGCTTTATTGTATCTTCTATCTAAACTTACCCCTGTGTATTGTCATTCACAAAGAAAATAATGAACCCTGAGACTATAACATTTCTATATTTAGAATTCACTGCACTACACTAAGCAGACGTGACTAAATTCTGTCATGTGTTCAGTACTTACTGAGTGAGTCACACGGAGCGCAGGAGTAAATGTACCAAGAAAGATTTTTGGAACAACCTAAATATGCAGTATTTCCTGTGACAAGTTCACCAATAGCTTTTTATCTTCCCTCTGCATTCATAATCTTTCTATAATGAGACTCGAGAGAATTTAAGGTATTTTTCTCTTTCAACTTCTAATAAAACATAAACTTGGTCACACTTCATTTTTCAACAGCTATGCAATGTTTTGGCTACTTGCTATTGATTTGAAAAGGCAAGGCTTTGTCTCTTCATGGTCGTCCACTCTACACTGTAACAGTATTTTTGTTTCTTCCTCCCTGTTACTCAGATCACACTCACTCTGCAGAGCCCATTCTTCCCTTACCCTTTTTTTTCATACCTTTAATAAATGGGAAACTTTGCCAACATTAAAAAAAAGGGCAAAAAGGCTTTGTTTTCTTGTTTTTTTTTTTTGTCTTTTTGCGACAGGGTCTCACCACGCAGTTTAGGCTAGCCCTGAGCTCACTTTGTAGCCCAGGATGGTCTTGAACTTGCAATGATCTTCCTGCCTCAGCTTCTAGAGTCCTGGAATTACAGGTGTGTGCCACCACGTCTGGCATGTTATGTTTTTTGAGACAGGGTCTCGCTGCTCTGAAATTCGCTATGTAGCCCAGGTTGGCCTTGAACATGTGATCCTCCTGCCTCAGCATCCTTTAACGCTGGGATTACAGGCATGTGTCACTATGCCTGGCTAATCCTGTTCTATCCATTGGAAATTACATTTAAAGAAGGCACTATGATGAAAACAACTTTGCTTATGTTGTGCTGCTGCTAATATGACTAAACAATTGTTACCCATTCTTACTAAGCTATAGTTAGCTTTCTGCTGAAACAGCTTCCTTTTTAAATGGTTTAGACTGTTAATTTCACAGTGACTTTAACCTAGTAGTAACTGTTGTGTGTGTGTCAGAGAGAGAGAGAGAAAGAGAGAGACAGGAAATGTGTAGAAGGTGAAGAGGTAAAGTAGTAGAACAAGGAGGTTTGGCTATTCAGGGTTTATAATTCTGTGCATTTTAATTTCTGTGCAGTGGAAACCTTACTACTGATGCACTAATGCAAACATATTGGTGTAATTCCCTTTCATAACTATGGAAAAGGGCTTTCCTGCATCTAGGGTACTCCTAAACCACTATGATACGTCAGAAAGCAGCAAGCCTATCTGGCCAGAAAAATAGTATCTCAGAATACACTATAGGAATTTTCTAATTAGAATGATCCTATAGGTCCTGATGGGCTACGATGCATCAATTACAACAGAGGAATCAGAAAAATGATCATAGGTTTGTTAGTTTTTTCACTACCTAAAGTGGAATAAACTTCAGGAAGCTGTCTCTACTACTACTGCTACTACTACTATGACTATTACTAGTTTTAATTTTTTGAGCCAGGGTCTCACTATGTACCTCAGGCTGGCCTTGAATTCACTGTGATCCTCCTGCCTCAGTCTCCCAAGTGCTGGAGTGCTACCACAACCAGCATTATGGCTTGTACCTAGATGTCCCCCCAAAGCCTTATGTGATCATAGGTGGGGCTTTTTTTGAGATGGCTGGATCTAGAATGTATTATGCTGGGATCAAGAGTTTGTGATTACTAAATTAGTCCACTGATTGACTTGGCATAGTTCCACAGGTAGATAATGGGAAGGTAAGGGCAGGTACCCTGGATAGACTATAAAGGACAGAAAGATAGCTGCTTTTGTTGCTTGCTGCTTGCTTCCTTGCTGCTTTGCTGCCTTCCTGCCTTCTACCTGCCATGAACTGTTTCTCCTCTGTGATGCCCCTCTGATATACCATCCTGCCTTGGAGCCAACCAACTATGAACTGAAACCTCTACAAACTGAGAACTAGATAAAAATTTCCTCATTTAACTCTGGGTGTTACATGCTTTGTCTCAACAACAAGAAAAGTAACGTAGACACCCAGCTAGGGAGCTACTATTATTAAGAATATTTTGGGGCTGGGGATTTAGCTCAGCGGCAAAGCGCCTGCCTGGCAAGCACAAGGTCGTGAGTTCGGTTCCTGGTACTGGAGAAAAACCAAAAAAAAAAGAATATTTTAAGTTTGATGATCAGTTTTCTAGGTTAACACTCCTATATTCTGTTTTAAATTCATTTATAGGCCTTAGTTGATTCCCATTATTTTGTGAAACAACAGCAATATGTTATCTCACAGAAAAGGAAACTGAGGTAGAAAAGAGGAAGTATAAAGCAACACTGGGAAGTGCTTTCTAACTGTATCCATGGCTGCTGAGCAAGTGCTTGGGTCATGCAATGGTTTTTATATCTGTCAAAAAATTAGATGTAATATTTTACGAAGTTAGACAAAGTCTGTTTGCATTTTTATCATGCATATATATACTAGATAAAATACATTTCCTTATTCAAATAATCACCTCACAGTTGAGGTTATTTTTAAAAAGTTTAATATGAAAACACCTCCACTATGATACTCTTTTTTCATACCTTGTCTGGATATAGTTTAGTAATGGATTATTTCCTATTTGAATAAATAACATACCTGGCCTGTTCTGTCTCATTAAGAAAATATTCGAAGACATTATTCATTATAACAACATCGGCACTGTGCAGAAGCGAACCCTGGGTGCAGATGTCTGCGTGGATCACCTACAGGAGGGGGAGAAAATGGAAGGGAAGGGGACAAAAAAAATGAAGAGGTGTCGCGTACATGCACCCACTCCCCTTGATGAGCGTGGTCACTAGGTACTGCGGGTGTGTACTAATAAAAGTAAAAATTAAAAAGAAGAGTACCTTTATTCTGTCACTGAACTGGTATTTTTTAATGACCATCTCCTGTAACTGGCAAAAGTCTCCATTCAGTTCCACTCCATACAGCTGCACTGCTGAACTGTAAAGGTAACCCTAAGGGAGGAAGATACATTATGAGGCAAATTAATTAACTTTTAATGGTAGCTTATTTCTAACTGAAAGTTTAAAAGTCAAATTTTTAAAAATATTAAATACAGTAAAAAATGAAAGATAAATAAGATCTTGTGGTTTGTGTAAAATTACAACCTCCAGGAGTTTATTCATACTGGTCAATATCTTGATTGTAGCTTATTAATTCCCAGTACCTGGCTATATTTTTAAAACCAGGCATTAAACAAAATTGGAAAAAAAAAAAAAAAAAAAAAAAAAGAAGAAGAAAAAATAAATAAACAAAATTGGAAGTGAGAAAAGTGACCACATAAAGATTTTCTAAAACCCAACTTCTGTGATTCATTGAGAAGCTGTTCAAGGAAAGCTAAAAAGTGTTACCTCTGGGGAATTTAAAGCACACTCACGCACAGCCTAATGCTAGGGGGCGGTGGCCTCAGGTATGTACCGGCCCACTTAGGGAAGAAGATAACGAATTAACTGAAGATAACCAATTGGCTAATAAGGATAATCAAGAATTGACTATATATTGTTATATGTTTGTCTTTGCTTGCAATAACAAAAACAATAATATATAAAAACCAAATCTGTATCTAGAGCACCATCATGGAATTTAAAAAACAAAGAAAATAATTTTTTTTATAATACCGGGAATTGAACCCAGGAGCTTCACACTGAGCTACATTCCCAGACCTTTTTCATTTTTTGTTTTTTTATTTTGAGACAGGGTCTTGCTAGGTAAGTAAGTTGCCCAGGCTGGGCTCAAACTTGCTATCCTCCTGCCTCAGCCTTCCCGGGTGCTGGCATTACAGACGTGTACCACCATGCCCAGCTTCTACCATGGAGTTTTAGAGTATGTTTAGCATTGTATATGTAGGTACTCCAAAATTTTCTGACTGATTCAGTGGCTTAATATGGAAAAAAATATGTCAATCTGTTTGGTTATCATCACTGATACCCTTTTTGCAGAGGCACAATGACTTCAGTGTTACATTTTTTAATAAATCAGAAAGTTGACTAGGGTGGGCAACATATAGTAAGCAGTCATAATCGCCAACATTTCTCCAAAGAAAACCACCAGCCAAGGTGGGCAGGATGGCCCACGTCTATAATCCCAGTTAGTACTTGGGAGGCTGAGGCCGAAGGATGGCTGGAGCCTAGGGGTTAGAGGCCAGGCTGGGCAACCCAGTGAGACCTTGTCCCAAGAAAATAACACCACCACCACCACCATTACCCCCCGCCTCAGGCACAACTGTGCATTTTCTATTAAGGCTATCTTTCCTAATTACAGAATAAAAATCTAACACTGCAAAACAAATTCAGTATTGAGGAGTTCACTGCTTCTGCTGAAAGCAGGCAGGATGCTGAGAACGGACAGTGCCCATTTCTGGCATAAGCCTCAAGTGCTGGGGGCCACATGTTTTAACAAGTCTGCCACTAACAAACAGAAACCATACTTCAGGTTTTTTTTTTTTTTTGAGACAGGGTCTTGCTATGCAGTTCAAGCTGGCCTTGAGCTCACTTTGTAACCCAGGTTGGTGTCGAACTTGCAACGATCTTCCTGCCTCAGCCTCCTGAGTGCTGGGATTACAGGCGTGCCACTTCAAGTTTTTGATAAAACCATTTAAAAACTTAGAAATACTCATGATTTGGAGTTTTTCGAAAACCCAGATTGAAGGAATGTTTCAGAAACAAACATCTACATTCAAACCTTGGATCACAGAAATTGGAACAAGATGTGTCCTTGGACATCACTTAGTTACTCATTTACAAGAGGAATTAGAGGTCCCATGGTGTTAAGTGATTTGCTCATGGCCATTCAGTGACCTCCTAAGTCAAGTAAATTTGTCCGTTTTGTAAGAGTTCTTATCAAAGCCCAGTGCACTGCTCTATTTTAGTGCAGTACAAGTGAGGACGGGTCAGAAAACACTATAGGGGAAAACACAGCCACCCGTTACTAGTCCCACAGTTCTCTTTCACATGTGCGCTTCATTTGTGTTGCAGAAACAAAGTAAAGGACACCAGACCGCTGGTCTTCGAAATTCCCCACTCAGCTACTACCATCACATAGAACTTAGGAGCCCGCCTACATGACACTATTTCAACCTCATTCTGCGACTTCAATCAATAAAGCCAAGCTGTCACCTTGGATGGTGGCAGGCAAAGGTGTTGCTAGCAGGAGAAGAAAGTATTTTCCCAATGCTGAGTATGTCCATAAGCTGGACTTTACCCCATAAAGGACCGTGCCAAGTCTGGAGCCAACGTCCACCAAGACCTTTCCTGACAGGTCAGGGAGTACGTGATGATAAATGAACTTCAATTCCACGAGGGAGAAGGAATGAGAAATAAAGCCTGGAAAATTAGAACAGAGTAACATTAAATTATGCTTGGTTATTTGCAGTTGCATTCTGTGCTTCTAGGTCCTTCATCTGCATTTATAAAGTATATTTCATTATTTTCTGCCTTCTTTCCTTTTTTGGTTTTTCTTTTGAGACACGCTCTTGTTATGTAGCCCAGGCTGGCCTTGAACTCATGGCGATTCTCACGTCTCAGCCTTCGAGTGTTGGCATTATGGACGTGCACCACCAGACCTGACTTCATGCTTTTTCTTAGTCAATGAAAACCATACAGAATTTATTGAAAAAAATGTGATAAATTCGCATTCTTTTATTCTGAGCTATATTAGAGAAAAGCAAACATTAAGTCTCTGACATTTCAAAGGCCCAGTAGGCTCCTGCTAACTCACATGACTGTCCCTACCCCTGAGTCCTTCATTTCCTTCTTGCAATTGCTTGGGATGGCCTGGGCTTTTTCCCTCCTCTTCTCCCTGTGACCTGCTGTTGCCTGGGGTGACTCCCTAACTTCCACATCATCTGCGTCTCTTACCTCACCCGACAGCCACACACTGTGATAGACAGTGACCAAGCCAATAAATGACCATCCCCGGAGGTGTGTGACTTAGCAGCCCTGACCAATCTAAAATGTGTGTTCTGCAGTAGTACGGAAGAAGGGTACAATGCTCCCATAAATTGTCCTTATTTCCCTTAGTTTATATGCCACCACTTCTAGTCTTGTAGTCTACCTTCTCACTGCAGTTTCTGTGATCCAGTATCTAGGATAGCTTGAATCCGGTTTTATTCTGATGTAGGAACTCAAAGACTCAATATATTATGTTTTATAGAATATGATGGTCAAGGAGGTGATAGATTTGAGTCAGAACCAATAGATAGTGGCAAAGAAAATGGAAGCAGGTATACTAGTCCCTTGGAACAGAATAAAGGATGTGACTCAGCCTCTAAAGTCTCTTGGGGTGGGCTCTGATGACCATAGTCCTTATCTCCCCATGATCTGATCCTCTATATCCTCTTTGCCATACTGGTGCTTTTGTAGGCTACAGTCATCAAGGTCGTATAGCTAGACAAACTCCTTGTCATCTGAGTATGTGTCAGAGAATCCTTCATGGAGATAGCTATTTTACATTCATTACTGTTGTCTGAATTGCTCTGTGTATCCAGTTATTATTTATAACTGACTCTTACAGGAAAATAAAATCTTTAAATTTTTATTCTACAAAATTCTCTTGTACAAATTTCTATATATTAGACCTATGTGATACAGTATTATAGTTATAATTCACTTTTTAGTTTGTCCTCTATTGTTCTTGTCAAACTTCTTTTCATCTATAAATTTGAACTACTTCCAAGGGAAATGATAAGTGTTATCTCAAAGCAGAACCTTAAAGCAGTAAATCAGATAAATTTACTCCCAAATTATGCAATATATTTGCATCAGCAACAAATCCCAGTTTGGTGGTTAATCTTTGAGGTTATTATCTAAGATTGGTGACATGAGCATGAGGTTACTTACCTGGAAGGGTAGCCCACGCTAGGCAACAACTCTAAGATGAGGTAAGCAGGGAAAGGTACTGTAGTCCAAAGCAACAGCCTAGACAATCACATCCGGTTTGAGTGAAGGCTATACTAACAGAAGAGTTAACCTAGTAGCAGCATGGAGTCGGTCTAGCTCTTATTTGGGACACAGGTGCTATAGCCAAGGGGCAGAGATACAAGGGACTTATTGTCACTAGAGCTGTGCTGTTATGGCTCAGGGACGCTTCACTGGGTCAAACACTGGCCCGCATAAACGTTCTCTGAGTCCGTGCCCACTTGGTAATATCTGCTCACTATCAGACTTCTCAAGCAGATACTGTATAGTGAGACTATTTTGGTCCCCTAAGAAGTTATATTTCTCTCTCTTTTTTTTTTTTTTTTTGGTTTTTCTCCAGTACCGGGAATTGAACTCACGACCTTGCGCTTGCCAGGCAGGTGCTGTGCCGCTGAGCTAAATCCCCAGCCTAGAAGTTATATTTCTCATTGTAAATTAATCGGCATATTGTTTATATGCCCATCTCTGTTGTGTAAGTAGTTTCCCTGTGTTCAGTCATTTCTGATCAGTTTCTGTTCTTCAACAGTCATCTCTGATTAAACAGTTTCTAGATGTGCTCTAGGGGACATGAGGTGGCCCAGCTTTCCTATATTATTCTTCCCTAACTGCAATACTTGGTAATGACCACACCACAGGATGGCCTTTTGCTTTTTAAAAAAACCTGCACTGGCTCCTTCAACAATCGGCACATTCATGACACGCTAGGAAAAATGCACATGTAGCGCCATTAGTCACCTGAGCGCCTACCTAAAGGTGCCGTCTGCTGCGAGCCGCACACGGTACAGTAGTTTCTGCTCATTCTTCCCTCCTCACATAATGAATCAATAAAATCTTCATCGTAAAGGAATGCGTCAACGTGAACTGTGGGTTCCGGCTGCTGCTGCATCTGGAGGAGAGGGGAAAACATCAAAAGAAAGTACAGCGCTTGCTTCTGTGGCACATACACTGAAACAAAGGAAACAAAGTACCAAGAGCTCTCCTTTTATTGTTAAAATAAGGCAAAACGTCAGTGGTTCATCTGCTAAACGTGGGAGAGCAACACATCCCAGAAGACAAGCTTTACTTACTCAAGTCAGTGACTGCCCCTTTCACTGATTAGACACCAATAACTTCACTTCACGCAGAATGATGCGAAACATGGCTATGAGAAATGTGTGACATTTTTGGCTGAAAGGAATTTGAGAGATTATCCTTGTCCACCCTAAATGGTACGTTTTATAAAGACATTGATATGCAGAGATTTCTCCTAGGAATTGCACTGGTAAGAGGGGAAAGAGAGAAACAAATGCTAGGTCTTAGGAGTCCCGTCAGTTACTCACCATCAAAATACCTCGCAGGTAATCTTTGTCTAGTAAGCGAAGTTTTCAACTATTAAAAATGTTATTAAAACTTCATGCCTTGTAACCCTTTATTAATACCCATAGTATGTAACAGCAAGCAGCTACAAAGAAAACAATGACTGATTCCTTTTACTTTAATAAAGAATCCTATCTGAGTGTCGTAGCACTTTGGGAGGTTGAGGCAGGGGGATCCCAATTCAAGCACAGCTTGGGCAACTTAGCAAGATCCTACCTCAAAAAAAAAACCCCAAAAACCAAAAACCCCAAAAAACACCTGAAAAATGTTTAAAAAGGCTGGAGATGAAGCTTCATCCAAAGGCCCTGGGTTCAATCCCTAGTACCCACTCAAATGCCTAAAAATCATATTTACACCCACTCAGTAAAACTCTGAAAGAATGTTAAAATCAGGTATGGATATGCTAAAGGATCAGAGGAAGCTGAGAAGATAAAAAGAAATGAATCTGTTATGACAGGACATAACGATGATTAATACACAATTTTTTTCTTATTTTATATATTATGATATGTGATACTGATAAAATTGTTTTATTAGTAACACCTGAACTGTACTACAAACATTCCTTTTCTTTGCTGTTTTTTTGTATTGTCTGTGACAGAGTCTTCCTATGCAGTTCAGACTGGCCTTGAACTCACTATGTACCCCAGGGTGGACCTGAACTCACGGCGATCCTCCTGCCTCCCTTCCAAGTGCTGGGATTAAGGCACGTACTGCCACACCTGGCTTATAAACATTTCTCTCAATTTTTGTACTACACTGTATTTTTTCCCTTGGGGAACCCATTCTGAATGACTGGATATTACTAAAATTTGCTAAGTGTTCATGATGTGCATATGTGACTAATAATGTACAGGACTTACTTCCTCTGCTCAGAGATTTATAGGCTGAAGAAACAACATGGAGGATGGCTGTTTTTAGATTCTAGCTTTGCTTTAAAAAACAACATTCACAGTACATGGTCTCTGTATGGGCTGGGATTTGAAGGGACTTGAATAAGGGGATTGTTGGTAGAAGAAAAGCCAGAACTACATTCTAGAAATAGAAGAATAAACAACAACAAAAAAATGTGAATGCAAAAATAGAAGGAAGCAAAAAGGTGAACTTAGTCTGTGAAAAGACTGAATGAATAGAACGGGAAGAGAAAACCAGGACAACACTGCACAGCCAGATTGTTGGCCCTTGTTTGGTTTTGATTATTTTTTGATTTTTGAGTGGCTGGTAAATGGGATGCTCTTAAAAAATAGTTGAGTAAACAGCACTGAGAAGGCAGGGAGTTGAGTATTCAAAAGAATTAGGGACATGCTTGAAGCGCTAACAAACTGTTTAAAGTTAAGTGTAGGACTAATTAGATTGAACAGGCCTTGGGGTTAGGGAATAACAGACTCTTAAGTAGCACTAAGAATAAATTAATTTGATTTAATGTATTTACTTTTTGAAGGGCTACAGGTTCTGAGGCAAGCATGGTTTCTAGAGGTAAGCAATTCCGAAGGTCATCAGCTATGTTTTTCAACATAGTGTCATTATTGTCTTGAGTGAATTCATCAAAATCTCCTAGGGGAGAAAAAAAAAAAAGAAATAGTTCTAAAAGTTGTAGTCATACCTGGATTAAATGATTACAGTGGATGTATTTCTATCAGACAGCATCAATCTGTAATAATAAATACAACTGATAAACACCGACAGATTCAAGTTCTAACACAAGTTCCATTAAAAATGAATTTTTTCCTTTTTCCAAA